GGGGAGGGTGGGAGAGGACGATGGGAAGGAAGGTGGCCTAGACCCTGGAGGGCCCTAGCTTGAGGGACTTGAGAAGCGGGGAAGATGCAGAGTTAATAGGACTGGTGATGGACTGAGTGTGGAAAGAAAGGAAAGAGAGATGCTCTGCATTACTTCCAGATACCTGGTTTGGGAAACTAGGGCATTGTGACGTCACTCACTGAGATAGTGAACCCAGGTGACAGAAGACAGGTCTAGGGTATGAGGGGGTGGCGGGGAGAGGTAGGGACCTGTTGAATGTGAGGGGCCTGTGGACAACCAGTTGGGTATGTTCCAAATCTTAGGAGAGAAACCTGGGCTGGAAATAAAGATTTGTGATTCATCAGCTCCTAATTAGTCTCAATGACTCCTCTGGTAATTGAAACCTTTGAAGTGGCTGAAGTTAACTCAAGGAGAGTATAAAATAAGAAGAGAAGGTTGATGAAAAACCATGGGGGAACTCCAGCATTTAGAGGAGTGGGGTGGGGCAAGGACCCCTCTCAGGAGCTGAGTGGAGTGGTTAGAGAGGTAGGAGGGGGTCCCTAAAGAAAAAGGGAGAGGTCACCCGTCAGCACAGGAATCTTTGCATGCATCTTGCTGCCTCGTGCTTCCCAGTCTCTGAAAGATCAGGTGACGTGGCCTAACCCACACAAGGTACGAATGAGGAAGCCAGCTTTCCACCAGCTCAGCAGTCTACCCAGTGGCCCAGTTTATGTAGTTAAATGTTTTGCGGTATGAGAAATGTAACTTACCTTTTGACTCTTACATAGTAAACATACAGTTTATCTTCTAAGTGAATGGACTAGAATGAAAGAAGTCTTTTTCTTGAGTCACTGATAAACTGTTTGCTTCATCTGAAATGGGGATGATGATACTCACGGAATAGAATAGGGTTTGGAGAAATTAAATCTATAAATATAAATACGCAGTACTGAGCCTAACACACAGTAGGTGTTCAATGAGTGATAGTCATTTCTGTGTGTCTCTTTGTCTCTCACTGTCTCTTTGTCTCTGTCTCTCTCTTTTAATAGAGAACTTGTGCTGTGTGAAATTAAACTGTGCTATTTTGGAACTCAAGTTTTTCATATGGCAGATTTCCATGAAGAAAAAAAATATTGTAATTATTGATTGAATTGTGCTGTTAGAATTAGAATTAGGTTCATAGCAAATAGGACACCATGTGATAAACTTGCAAACAAAACAAAGCCAAAAATTGTACTTGCTATCCCCTTGTTGAATCTGGCCCTCTGTTTCAAATTAATTAGATCTTTGGATAACTATGCTAAACTTTGTCACATCCTTATTAAAATTGTTTAAGGATTTTGAAGAACATCTCAGAGGGACCCTTAAACTAATCTGAGTCTGGTACTGGAGATTCCATTAGCAATCACAAAACTGATTAATCTTTTACTCAGTTAGCTTATTGATTATTGCTGCAATTACTGCATGTAACTGACTCTGCAAGGGATGCCTGCAGAAAACACATTTTATAACTGCTGCTGATGTATTCAGTTTGCGTCCAGTATTTTGTGCTTTTCACAACATAACTACTTTTGTCTTTTTAAATGCTGGAACACTTCTAACTTCAGAAAGTGCTGTGCCTAATACTGTTTCAATATTAGAAGAATTACTTTTTAATTTTTCAGCTACTAATGCATTACAGTTTACAAAATACCTTCACTAATGCTATTGCTCCAGTTTAATTTTGAGCCTCACAGTAACCCTATGTAATAGAGTAGATCTCTACTCTCGTTTGGAGGAGGCTGGTGTCAGTGAGGTTAAGTGACTACCTGAACACTACACAAATTATTAATAATAAGTGGCAGAACCAGGATTGGACCGCATTTCAATCAGTATATATTTATCTAACACCTGCTATGTGCAGGGCTTTGCATTAGGGATAATGGAAGCCAGGATAGGATTATAGAGATTAAGCTCAGGAAGCTTTTTGGATAACTTCAAATTTTGGCTCCATTAATGTTATAATGGTCACTTTGTTACTTTTCTGTCCAAACCTTACTTTTCTGTTACTTTTTCTGTTAAGTATCTTGGTGTACAAGATTTAGGCTTTTCGTTTGTTTGGTTGTTTATTTGTTTATTTTGTTTTTGTCTAGTAGAAGTCTTTGTCATCGTTGTTTATGTTATCATGATTTGGAACAAAATTAGAAAAAATCCTTTAAAGGGAGAATATATAAAAACACTTAAAGAGGATCAAGATCTAAAAACAACTTGCTCTGCAGCTTATTAAGTGCTGTCTTACATTTTCTCATGTGAGTCTGTCATTAATCATATGGGTAGATACCATCTTCTTTTCACAGATGAGTAAACTGAGGTGCAGTACTTCCTCATGGAGGTCCTGTGCTAGGAAATGCCCAGTACTGAGACTCCTGGGTTTGAGTCCTTTAACTCCTCCAGGTGCCTTGCTCATCTCACTCTGCGGCACAGGCCTTATGGCCAGTCAGGACTGCTGTGTGCCAGGAGAGACTATGCGTGGCCCTGCGTTTTATTCTTGTCCCTTAGGGAATGCCATGGAAGCAATGGCCTGAGCTCCTAGGCCTGGTGCCTGGTGGCGGCCCCCTGGCCCTCACGAGACCTGTTCCTCAGAGGTCAGTTGCCTGAGTGAACCCGCACCATGGGTTTAATTACCATCGTTTATAGGTTATCTTTGATGTCGAATTACTTTGCTGTGTGGAACACGGATTCTCTGTTAATACAAACAGATTAAACTCAGTATTTCAGGAGAAAGTGCCTCCCGGCTTTAGAAGAATTATAGAAAACAAAAAAACAAATCCTAACTACATGCTTTAGAAAAGCTGGCAAGTGGCATACTTAATATCATTACTGTGACTGTGTTAATTGTGGTACAGAGATGTTTCTAGATTGCTAAAATTTTTTTACAAAGATTATAAAAGTATATATAGTTTACCAGTTGGCTTGGCACAGATCTGAAATGAAAGGGAAACCATTTTTATTTATTTATTTTGTGAGGTAAATAAATAAAGTTGGAAAACAGGTCAATTTCATGCATGCAAGGTTTTATAGTAGGAAAAAAAATGCATTGCACCTGTTCTGACCCCTTACATTTGAGGTTATTTGTTTTCGAACTTGACCCCAAGCACCAGTTTCAGACAACTCTATAATTAATTTGTTAGATAAAGCATAAGGATATTTTATTTGTTTTGATTTCTAGGACTGTGGTGAAGTAGTAACTGAAATTACTAACCTATTGTACATAGCAGTTAATTAAAGAAAAGCATTAAGTATAGGAGAACACCACCATTGCTGTTGTCTTGTATCAGTGTAAAAAGGCAGTAATTTTTTTGACAGCCACTGATTGGAAAGTTGCTTGCAGCCTTCCAGAAGCAAGGGGGTACATGCTGTGGATCAATAACCGGCAAATTTCCCATTAAAAAGAATACCTGAGCAATGTTCCAAATAGCCACTGGCATCTTAATTTTCCATGGAAACCTCAAATACTTGTGTGCCGAGGACAAGTCATTTTCGGACAATTTTTCCAGACTACTTGTTAACAGTTATTGCTGTCCCAAAAGGTTGACAGCCTACATGATTGATATTTCATTTACTTGTCATCACTGTTTGAGTAATGGCGAGCACTGTATTTCTGCGGTTTTAAGGAATATAGTCCCCTGAAAGACATTCGCCTTAGTATGTATTGCAGAGACTGTGTCACATGTTGATGTTGTATGTATATAAGCTTTTATGCACATAGAAGGAGAGGACCTGTTTCCTGTACAGTGTGAGAGCCCTTGGAGAGCAGGGTACGCTTATATTAGCCTGTAGCTGTCACAAATCCACCGTCACTTTGTTTTTAAAGCCTAGAGCTTTATTTAGTCTTGGTAACTTGTGATTCCCAAGATGATGTAGAATTTTATAGCTCTTTTTATTTCTAAGGAAAAAAAACCTGGATCTTATAAAAATTTAATGTACCTAAAAACAAGAAGATATATGTATATTCTAAAAAGAAACTTCTTACGAATGTGAGCAAATAATGATTATCAAGGAAAAATTCCTGAAAATGTGCTAAATAACGTGTTTTTAATATATAAACAGCATAGATTAAAGGGGAGTTCTGCTCTGCGCCAGCCCCTCAAAACACAGAATCGACAGTTTTCATCATTGGTATTTTGCCGCCAAGAACATCACTTTGTTACATGAGGGCAATAGAATCCATCTCCAAGTTAGGCGGGCACGGGTTCATCAATTAGCATATTAAGGAAAAAGGGAATCAGACCATGTAATACAACCTACTGAGTGAATTTGTGTTTCTGAGGAAATGTGAAAGCTTTTTTACTGGGAACTTTATTTTTTGTGCCTAGCATTTTAAAGTGAAACCTGATCTATATTACCAGGTTTCACTTTAGTGTTTATAACACTAAAGCATAAAAGGTATGTTTGCTTGAAACTGGGCTGCCTGTTTATCATATTGATCCTGTCATCTTTGGATAGATCATGTCTTATGTGCTCATTCCACAGTCTCTATGATTTAGATTTTCATTATTTCTGCATTTTCTACGCAAAGAGGAATGATGTTTGATTGACTAACTGGCATAGAGGTCCAAGCTAGATGCGAGGCATCTTCATTGTGCTTTGCCAAATCCAGGGGAAAAGAACTAAAGGCAATTTGAGGCATTTCTGCTAAAATGCTTTGTGTTGTTTTTACTACATGTCATTTTCAAAATATTTCTAGAGGTCAAATGCTAATCTGAAGTCTTAATCAACAGTTCTACTTTTGAAGATAAATGGCAGTGTGGAGGATAACACTATACTGGACTTTCAATCCTGAGTAGTCACTGTCATTTTAATGTGTAAATAGGGAAAAAATATTCTCGAGGCTGATATATGTATATATATATATATATATACAAGTAATTTACAAAAGTACTATGAATTAAACAACCCATAAGTGTCTGTTCCAGTATGCGTACATTACTGAGTAATCTCTTTCTATAATCTCTTTGCAGTATTATTCCACAGTAATGGAACAGCAAGTAAATGGACAGTTAATAGAGCCTCTGCAGATATTTCCAAGAGGTAATGTTGAACAAATTCTAATCAACAATGATTATTTCAGTAAACTGTTTCATCAACAGTTATGTTTTCCAAAGGTTTAAATGCACATAACATGATGTTTAGCTCTTAATTTGAAAAAACAAAAGAAGTATTCATTATCGTGGGGATTGCAGACTATATTATAGTTATGGCAGATAAAATATCTAATTTACTAGAGTAAATTAAACTAACTAGATTGTTTTTGTTTTTGAAGTACATACTTACATTCATTTAAAGAACTCTTGGGGGATCCACATGGTTTCTAAACCAAGACAAATGAATGATTTTAATTTTGGATATTTATAAATTATGGCTCATGATGGTAGGTAGCCAAAGTTGCTATTGAGGAGAAAGCTTTCAGCTAATGCAGAAGCTAAGGCTTACTGAGGGGTTTTAGCAGAGACGTTTTGGTAGAATATTTGGTGCTTGGTTTTTTGGGGGTGGCATTTTCTAAATAATGGCAAGTTCTCCTATATGGGAATGTAATTGTTAAGTCTTCAAAAAATATAACTGATAAGTGTAAGTCTTGGTGAATCAGCTGGTCAAATAATTCTCTTTTTCCCTTTTAGGTTTGGCACTACTAGCCTTATATCAGATATGATTGTTCAACTGTGTAGAAACATTCCCTCAAATTTTGAATAATGGAGAAAAAGAACAGTTTAGTATAAACCATTGAGTCTTTCACCCATAATACATTGCCCCAGTTGGAATCCATATTTTCTAACTGATGGAACAGATAAGGAAATTCTCTAAGTAACTCTTCTAGAAATAATTGAAATAATTCAAAGTTAAATTTACCTTTGTTAACAGATACTGTACAAATAATCATGGTATGAGTTTTCCAATTTAACGTTCTAGACTTTCATTACCTGTAACTCTCTGAAATTTGAATGGCTCAATTATAACCAGTAGACTCTTATTTGCACTGATAGGGTCTCCAAAAGCAGCTGACTCGGCAAGCCAATGAGAAGATCTGAGTTCAAAAGTCATGTAGGCAGTGGGATTGGGAGTACTTAGTGCATTGTTAATAAGTTATTAAAGAGCTAAGTAAATAAATAAAATTGGGCCATTGATAGTGTGTCTGAAACAAGGATTATGATTAATCTAATTCTGTTGCACCTGACAACTGAAAACTAAAACAGGAAAAAAACGAAAGGAAAGGAGATGTTGCTATTTCTGGGTATTAGGCCAATAACAAGGATGAAATTTGTTTCTTAATATTTTCAATGACTGGAGAATTTGGTCAAGTTTCAAAATTGTTCCACAAGGAACATTAATTCACCAGCTAAAAATTTCCATTAATTACTTCTTTATTTGATGACATGATAGCTCTGTTGTAGCAAATCCTAATACAGTATCCTGGAAAATTATAGTTCCAATGCTGTGGGCCTTCGTTTTTTACTTCTTTTCATCAAAAATCCTTTCAAGTTTTGTTTATTTTGTGAAGAGCCCTTGTAGTCTTACTGTCCATATCATTTTGCCCCCTCCCCTGATAATAACAACCATTTTTAGACATCTGCTCTGTTCAGGCACTAATATTGCTTTAAATGTTATCATTTCTAATTCTCCCAATAGCTTTGCCTACTAGGTACTATTGCTTTCATTGTACAGATGAGAATGTCGAGGTTCCGAGAGGTTAAGTAACTTCAGAGTCACACAGCTTGTAAGTGGTTAATATGCCCTTTGGGTAAGAATTTTGTTTAAATTATAATTTGATTAAAGTAAAAGGGCATATAAGTTAAAATATTAGTGGACTGTGCATGGGGATAGTTTGGAGGGGTTGGTACGAGTATGGAGAAGAGTATAAAGTAGGAAGAAGATACTTAAAAGAAGAAAATAAATGAAATGTGAGTGTCACATGTGGTTCGATCACAGAACCTATTAGACTCCAGTAAATTATTAAATAAAGTTCTTCCAAGCCAAATTTAAATTTTTAAAACTATATGACTCAGTCTCCCTAGTATTTTTGCATGCTGTTGTACCACCCTTTTTAGCTGTTGTAATTTTTTGCTTACGTACCTACATCATATATAGGTAAGTAAGATTATGCAAACTTGTACAATTAGGATATAGACATATTGGGTATTTTACCTCGGTCTGTCTCCCTAGTTGGTTAGAGGCTCTCAAACCTTAGATTCTGTGTACAGGCCCCATGTTAAAAAGGATCTCTGGGGAGCCGGCCGAGTGGCTCAGTTGGTTAAGAGCTCGCTCAAGAGTTTGAGCTCTGAACAACAGCGGTTCGAGTCTCGGCCCGAGCTGAGCAGCTGCTGAGCTGCCAACAGGTGGCAGGATGGCTCAGCTAAAAACAAACAAACAAACAAGCAAACAAACAAAACAACAAAAAAAGGATCTCTGGACTAGACAAGTGAGAAAGACAGGAGAAAACTACTCTGTTCTAACATCGGATGTTCTCCTCACTCCAAGTGGGACAGTTGCCTTAGAAGGTAACTCCCAGCTCATTGCGAAGTCCTCTCTGTTATTAAAATGTATGTTAATAAGTATGAAAATTTACTGGCTTTATTGTAACTTCTGACTCCAGGATTTTAGGAAATATGAGGTTACTAGGTTTTTTGAATACTGTTTAGGTTTTCAATCATAAAGGTTTGAGAAGCTAGTTGAGGAATGATGCAGATGTTAAGGTAAGAGACAAGAGTTGATGGTAGTCTCTAATCCCTTGGTTAGTCACTTTCTTATTAAATGAAGCTTATGACTGTACTGGGCACGTCAATGGAAATACTCGGAAATGTTGTCTTAGGAAGTATTAATGGTCCCTCAAGGACCAGGTATCACGTGTATGTGACTGTTGTTTTGTTCAAAAAATTAATTTCCATTTTAAGGAAAGAAGACTTGGAGTCTTAATTTTAATGTGTTTTAGAAAAACAAATAAAAATCCTTTACTACGGGTGAGATATATTTTTTAGGAAAATAAGAATAAATTTGAATATACTTAAAATATACAAAATTAAAGCAACTGATGTATTTTGTAATTATTACTCACATCTTATTATTAAACAACTCTATTTCTTGTTATCAGAAACAGAGGAAAAATATATGTACATCTGAGAGAAGAGCAAAAAAAAAATCAAATTCATCCCTCCCCAAACAATCAATCAAAATTGACGGCCCCTTAACATATAATATGTAGGGCAGTGTAGTTTTGAGATGGAAGCAGCCTATAAATGGGCAGAAAGCTTTTGTATTTTTAACATTTGATGAAGAAGCATTTGCTGAATTGGAAAAATACTAACCTCTAACTCATGATGGCGTCAGGAAATTAATATTATTTTCCCCAGCATTGCTTTATCTTTAGACTTAAATATTAGCAGATGTTAAGATTTGCAAGAAATGTAATAACATTAGTGACACCTCTGTATTTTAATAAATTTGAATGCTTATTGCTGTGCGAACTAGTACTATTAAAACTTGAATATTCCATCTTAGAATCCCTAACAGCATTTTTGGCATTAAAAGACCCTTCTCCCACTTCCGCAACCCGCAAAAAAACCTGGCTATTTTCAAAGTAGTTTAAGTAATAGCAGATACACAATGTGATAGAATGAGGAAAGATTGCAGAAATTTAAATTATGAAAGGAATCTAATCATTTTAGCTTATTTAACTTGATTTTTATATGTTTTAAGCAGAAATTGGAATTGATATGAGGTGGTGTTGGAAAGCTCTTTGCATTTATAAATGCTCACTCCTGCAAGTTAAAAACCCTGGTTCATAATTCCCACTTTGGGTCTTGGGAGCCACTTTTCAATCATTTCTCTCTGCTAATTTTGGTGTCACCCTCATTTCTTTTTAAACGATTCATTTTGAGCAAATTTGTAAATGGCCCTGATGTGTTCTACAATTTAGTCAATTACTGTTTCAGCCTGCAAGCCTCCTGGGGAACGGAACATACATGGCCTGAAGGTACGAATTTCAATAATTGTTTCAGTAAAGTTAGATGGATTTGTAATGCTGTGTTCCACTTATTGAAATGTCAAATAAAACTGCACTTTCTCAAGCTCTGACAAGCGATCCTTTTTTTTTTTTTTCCTTTTGGCTTTTTTGAAAATGGGAGGTGGAGGGGGATTCATCTGTAGTATTTGCTCAATATGTGTATATATTTGGATACAGGTGCTGTATTTTTTTATTATTTGGAATTGTTTTGTTTGTCTGTTTCTTCAGGATGATCCTGGGTACTAATCTCCACAAAGATTTATTTGAGTGAAAACACAGACTTCATGTCAGTGATTAATTAAGCACATAAGCATATATTGCACACAGAATACCCCCCTCTCCTTTTGACGTATTTATGCTAGAAACATATATCTATTTAATGTCTTTTCTTTGTTTCGTGCATTTTTAATTCTAGATTCCTGCTTAAGGCTTTACATTTGAAAAAAAAGCTGGCTATTATATTAGATTTAAGTGTTTTGTAATTAATTACTTGGACCTCATTTTTCAGTGAATAAGAAACATTCTGTAGTGTTCTTGGTTTTAGAGCTGGAAGGATATGACAACTTGAGGTTTATCACTTAATTCCTTGGTGTATTTTTAATGTACTTCTTTGAACATACCATTTTTTTTTATATACAACAAAAGAGTGAATTAAATTTTTTCTCTAGAATGGAATTCAGTTCTAGACAATGAATTGAAAATTTTCCCTATTTATATCTCCTTTCTTTCAGCACTGTTTAAGTATTTGAATAATGACAGTCACAGTGTTATGTAATATACAGGTTGTATAGCTCTGTAACCTATATACTGAATAGACTCCAACCGTGGGTCTAACAACAAGCTAATTAACCTTCATAGTGAAATGAGAAATTTGTGGCAAATTATAGGTTAATTAGAACTGTGTCCTCAGAACACAAGACTGATCAAGATTCTTCTTTATATTTTTAGGTGAATACCCGGGCCGGACCCTCTCAACACAGCAGCCCAGCAGTCTCAGATTCACTTCCAAGCAATAGGTGAGAGCAATTGAAGTGTGCCCATAAGCATGATTGGGGGTCGGCACGTGGGATGACACCTCTTTTCTGTAAGACCAAAAAAATGTGTATGTGACTAACAAGAAATTTGACAAGTTAGGTAACCTCAGCTACATATCGACCGAAGAGAAAGGACTTTATAGAGAAAGATCAAATTCGACATGTTAAGGTATTAATTTTGATCTGTGGAGTGGTTTTCCTTTAGTCTCCAATTTATACAAGATATTCAGTGCCTTTGTTTGTTTTATATCTTGATAATCTGGTTTGTAGATTGTTCAATGCTAATTTTTTTTCTTGGCTTGACCATCTACTGATATCTTGACCAGAAAGAGGCAAGGAGAGAGTAAAGCAGTAAAATTTCAATTGACCAAGCTGTATTGCTCATTTTTGTATCTTTGGTTTCATAAGAGATTGAAGCTATTATAGAAGGAAGATAGTTTTCATTAATTCATGCTAACATTGCTGGGATGGGTGGGTACTAGAGACTTGAAACTTTTCAAAGTGTTTTTCTGACAGCCTTGAGAACTTACGCCCAAACTATCAAGGTGCTCAAGCAGAAGGAGCGGCTTGCTTAAGCTAATAGAATTCTGGGTCATCTTAGTTATCCATTCCATTATTCAGCTAGAAAACATTATGTTACTGTGCAAGCATACCTCAGAGATATTGCAGCTCAGTTCCAGACCGCCACAAAAAGCAAATATCACAAAAGTGAGTCATACAGATTTTTTTGGTTTTCCAGTGCATATAAAAGTTTTTTTACACTATACTGTAGTCTATTAAGTGTGCAATAGAATTATGCCTCACAAAGTACATACCTTAATTAAAAGCTGTTGCTAAAAAATGCTAACCATCATCTGAGCCTTCAGCAAGTCATAATCTTTTTGCTGATGGAAGGTCTTGCCTCCATGTTGATGGCTGCTGACTGATCAAGGTGGTGAGTGCTAAAAGAGTGGTTGTGGCCATTTTTTAAAATAAGATGACAGTGAAATTTGCTGCATCGATTTACTCTTCCTCTCATGGAGAATTTCTCTGTAGCATGTGATGGATGCTGTTTGATATCATTTTATTCACAGAATTTCTTTCAAAATTGGAGTCAATCCTGTCAAACCCTCCACTATTTATCTAAGTTTATGTAATATTCTAAATCATTTGTTGTCATTTCAACAGTCTTCATTCACATCATCTTCACCAGGAGTAGATTCCATCTCAAGAAACCACTTCCTTTGTTCAGCCATAAGAAGCAACTCCTCATCCATTAAAGTTTTGTCATGAGATTGCAGCAATTCAGCCACATCTTCAGACTCCACTTCTAATTCTAGTTCTCTTGCTATTTCTACCACATCTGCAGTTACTTCCTCCACTGAATCCCTGAAAGTCAACCATGAGGGTTGGATTCACCTTCCAAACTCCTGTTAATGTCAATATTTGACCCTTTCCCATGAATCATAAATGTTCTTAATGGCATCTATTGGGTTATGGGAAAGTCATGACGCATTTTTGCAACGAAAAACAGAAAAAATACGTCATGACTTTTCCGACAACCCAATAGAATGGTGACTGTTTTCCAGAAAGTTTTCAGTCTTTTCAGGATCCATCAGAGGAATTGCTATCTTTGGCAACTATAGACTTACAAAATGTATTTCTTAAATAATAAGACTTAAAAGTCAAAATTACTCCTTGATCCATAGGCTACAGAATGGATGTTAGGTTAGCAGGCATGAAAACAATATTAATCTTGTTGTACGTATTTATCAGAGCTCTTGAGTAACCAGGAGCATTGTCAATGAGCAGTAATATTTGGAAAGAAATCTTTTTTTCTGAATAGTAGGTCTCAACAGTGGGCTTAAAATATTCCGTAAACCATGTTGTAAACACATGTGCTATCATTCAGACTTTGTTGCATTTATGGAACAGAGGCAGAGTAGATTTAGCATAATTCTTAAGGCACCAGGATTTTCAGAATGGTAAATGAGCACTGGTTTCAATTTAAAGTCTACAGCTGTGTTAGCCTCTAACAAGAGAGTCAGCCTATCCTTTGAAGCTTTGAAACCAGGCATTGACTTCCCCTCTCTAGCTATCCCTTGAACACTTGTAGGGTTATTAATTGGCCGAGTTTCAGTATTGTTGTATGTTAGGGAATAGGGAAGCTGGAGGAGAGGGAGAGAGACGGGAATGGCGAGTCAGTGGAGCAGTCAGAACACACACAACGTTTATTGATTAAGTTTGCTTTTTTACATGGGCACAGTTCGTGGTGGCCCAAAACAATTAATTACAGTAACATCAAAGATCACTGATCACAGATCACTAAAACAAATACAATAATAATGACAATGTTTGAAATATTGTGAGAATTACCAAAATGTGACACAGAGACACAAAATAAGCAAATGCTGTTGGAAAAATGACGCAGGTTTGCCACAAACCCTCAGTTTGTAAAATAATAATAAACTACACAGTACCTGTGAAGTACAATAAAGCAGAGTGCAAAAAACAAGGTGTGCCTGCACTCGAAGACGACCTGTGAGGGTGATTGCTCTGCGTGTATGTATTTACAATGGTGACTGAAAAGCCATTATCAAACCAGAAAACCCTTCTATTCTGTGCCCAGGTTTTTCTGAGTTTAGGGCTGTAGCCAGTATTTGCATAGCCCTTTATCAGCTGAAATGTAGTTTAGGCTTCTACTTTCCTTCTATACCTCCTCTTCCCCTCTTCCCCCCAGATCTTGACTCTTTAGCCAGAGGAGTTGACTGTATATAATTGAAAGGCTCTCCTTCTGACTCCTCTCCTGGCCGCTTCCTAAAAGTCACTTCCTTGATTGCTTTTATTATAGTGTCAGTATAAACTACCCACCAGCTTTCCTGATATGAACACATTACTCTTAAAGTGTGTTTCCTTCTTAAACAATTTATTCTGTCCTAAAATACAGCCTGGTTATTCACCGATGGATCACCTGTCTTGTGGGCACGAGGGGTAGGTCTTTTAGTTCTCATCCAGGGGCTTGGCCCTGCCAGGCAATTCTTTGTAGCTTCTCTTTTCCTGCTCGTTGAGCAGGTGAGGCATGGCCCAACTGAGCGGAGGCACAGGGATTGAGGGTCACTTGTTACACTGATCTGTCTGAAAGAGGGCAGGGCATTTAATTATTACCACTACTTGCAGAAAAGATGTTCAGACAGACTGACAGTGAGCCTTGAGGAAAAACCAGGACTTTGCCTGGTGTTTTAGGTGAAATTTTATCATGGCATAAAAGAAGAGTAGAGTTGAAAAAGATGGTAAGCAGAGAAGAAGCAGGATATCTTTTTTGGTTCTCTCAGATTTAGTTTTAACAACATGAGTGAATTAGCTTGGTTTTTAAAAAATTATCATTTAAATTCACAGAGTACTGTAAAATTTTACAGTTGGACAGAGACTATCTGCTCAAGTCATTCTCAGCCTTTTGTTGTAGCATCTTCCCTTAGGCTGTGACAGCCTCCCAAATAGTAATGGTGGTTTGTTCCAGTAGTGATTTCCATTATGGGAGAAATGCAATTTGAAAAAGTCCTACTAGTGATTTTTTTTTAAGATTTTTATTGGGGAATTGGGGTGGATGGGAACAGCGCTGGGGAATTGGGGGAAGGGGAACAGACAAGTTGCTGTCGTTTTGGTCTTCAGTCTAGTTGTGGAGGACATTGCTTCACTGGCCNCTAGTTGTGGAGGACATTGCTTCACTGGCCCAAGTTGGCACCATCATTGCACTCTTCCGGGCAAGGCAGATCAGTCACTGGCTTCTGGACGGCCGCTCACTGTGGCTGCTGGCCGCTCACGCTGGCTGCCGGCTACACACGGTAGCCCATTGCAACCCACTGCAGCAGGGGCTGCAGCCTACGCTGTCACTGGCGACTCACAGCCGCCCAGCTCCAGGTCGAGCTGTTGTTCAGCATCTTAGCTGTAGAGGGCAGTGTCACTGGCCTTCATATGTGGGATCCAAACTGGGGTCCTCTGGCATCCCAAGCCAGTTCTTAACCAACACACCATTCGGCCGGCCCTCCTACTAGTGATTTTAATGCTACCCTGGGTTGGCCATGTTCTGTGCCCCGTGTTGATCACTAATCAAAAGTATTTATTGAGTGCCTCCTATTCATTAGGTGCTGCCCTATGCACTAGCAATACAATGTGGTCCTTGTCCTTTGGAGCTTGCTATCTAATAGGCACATAGACAAAAAAGACCCCAGATATACAAGTAATTATACTTTATAATCAGTGTTATGAAGGAAATAAGCAGGTTTTGAAGAGAGAGCACAGTAGGCAGGAATATGTTTAGATTTAGACTGGGGTGCTCCAAGAAGGCTCTGGGAGAGAATGACATTCCATCTAGGCCTGAAGGACGAGAGGGACCCAGCCACATCAAGAGCCAGAAGAAGGGCCTTTCAGAGGGCGCGGGGAGCATGTGTGAAGACCCTGTGGTGGAAAAGGAGCTCAGCGTATTTGTAAGTAGGCCAGTTTGGAGCACAGGGAGCGGTGCTGAGTTGGGAGAAGGTGTGGAGAGATGGGAAGGAGAGCAATAGGAGAGAGAGGAGAGCAGGAGGTGGACCATGAAGGGCCTTGTGTTTGAATTTTCCTCTCCGTGTATTGGTACGCCATTAGAGGACTTTCGGCAGGAGAGTGCCATGGCCAGCTCTTCTCCTTGCCTGTGGTGTGGAGCGTGAGGAGGAGAGCAGTAATCTAACCCTGCTCCCCTTAGATGCGTGCGTGACTCCCCACTCCTTGCAAGAGGGCCAGCCATGCTGTCTCCCTCTCTGGCAGGAATGCACTTGATTGGTTAAGGCGGAGCATTCTGTTTCCATGGAGCTAAATCTTGGTTCTTTTTCATGAGCTGAGATTTGCTCCCACTTAGCACCCACTCATAAAGATTTGGTTTGTTCTCTCTTCTAATCATCTTCCCTCCAAACATACTACTTCTCCTAGATTTCCTGTCACAGTTGATTCTCCCATATCCACCCAATTGCTTACTGCATGTAATTGGCCAGGCATCCTGTGCTGTCTCCTGAGCCTCTCTCAGCTGCACATCCAGTCAGCCCCTACATTTGTAGTGTCTGCCTTCTGAATCACTGGAGTCTGCCCACTTTCCAGCACTCATGATGATGCAGAGGTCGTTGAAGCTCTAGATTACTGCTGGCAGCCTCCTAATATTATAGTTTACTCCCTGCAGCCTTGCCCCATTGCAGTATCTCCCCCGCACTGCAGCCAGAGTGGTCTTGCTAATTTTGAGTTCTGAGCCCATCATTCCCCTTTTATTGCTTCTCACAACCTTCAGGATGAAGTGTACCCTCGACAGGTGAGCAGTGGCCTTTCACATGTGGGTCCTCTGCCCACTCCAGGCCCCCGGCCTGCCACTCCACCCCTTCTCACCTGACATTCCAGGTCTGCTGATGAATGTGTGGTGCCCTTAATGGGCCACGTCTCCTCTCACTACTTCACATCTGCTACTGCCTCTTTCCTGCTTTCCTCCTCTCTTAACTCTCCTCTCCTGCCTTCAGTCTGGCTGACCTTGGTCATCTTTGAGACACAAAGCTGTTATCTTCTTCTAAAAACCACCCCTGATTATTAGGCACTTCCCGGTCTGCACCAGGCACCCCTTCTATGAATTCCCCTAACCCCCCTGTGCTTGCTTTACTATAGCAGTTAGCATGTTGTGTTATAATCGCCTCTGTCCCCAGTAGGTTCTATGTTCTTTGAGGGCGGCGACTGCAGCATATTTATTGTTGAATTCCCAATTCCCGGCACGATGCTTGACACAAAGGAGATGATAATGCTGAATGGATGGACGAACTAACAAATGAACTAACTAACTAACGTTCCCTTCAAGTCTTGTCTGGATTAAGTTTGCCCAACTCATTCAACTTTTCTGATACAGCATCATTTCTAGTCCTATCACCCTTTTACTCTTCTTTGGATGTCTCAATATCCTTCTTAAAGTGTCATACCCAAATTATAATTGTGTCACATTTAAATTTTAAAAAGAGCTTAAAAGCGATGTTCGGTTAGCTCAAGTCGCTGTGACCATGCAGATAAAATATTGAGTAAACTGGGGCACAAAGAAAATGCCAAAATATAGAGATTTTTTTTTTTTACTAGACCAAGTTGGTAGCAAGATATTGGCATAATGAATGAAATCAGCTTTTTCCTCTGTTACTCTCAAAGCATGAATTGGCCTTTGCCTTAGGTGGTTGGCTGTTTACTAAGCTGACCTTCCCTAATCCACATAGTGTTCCTAGGCCATAATTACTGAATTCAAGCTCCACTGCCAAGGCCAGGCCTTTCCTAAACACCTTGGCTTTCTCTTTCTGTAAAATAAGGATGATTAAACTTTCCATCTATCTACCTCTGGTGTTAGAAGATTGATGAAGCTGTATTAAGGAATCACGTTTTGTTTCTTGGATGAAAGGTGTTTTGTAAATGCAATGAATCAAAATGTTATTATTTCAAGTTGTATGACATGATAGAATATCTGTGGAGAAACATTGCCTGGGCATTGTTTGGTTATTTCTGTTTTTACAATAATTGCAACTATTAAATTGGGTGTCATCTGTGGCAATAGAAGGATCTAAATGTTTCTCAGAAAAGAAAAAAGTGTGTGTGTTAAGAAAAATAGACTGACTTTGAACAATGTCTGTACCTTAGTTTCCTTTATAAATTAGAAATAACTATGTGAGGGTTAAATCAGGATAATAAGTAACAGCATTTAGCACTGTGCCTGGCATATGGTCATCATTCAATAAATGGTAGCTGCTATTGTTTTTTTTTAACTGGACTGATTTTGAGCAGTTGTTTACTTTTTGGTGTATATGTTTCAGCTTTAGTCCCATTCTATAAAATTCTTAACTGCCACTTCAGGGCATGAATTCTTAGACTTGGGACGACATTATTAAAGTTTAGAATGCTTGGTTGAGGACACGTTTTATAAAATCTGGGGAAAGTTGGTACTAAGGCTCCATAGTCTGCATTTGGCCATAGCAGAATTTTAAGAAGTATTTAGAAAAGAGAATAATTATAATTTGGAAAGGTGAGTATGATCAAACTTGAAGTCTGAAATTTTCTCAAATATAACTTATAAAGGTATCAAATGATTGTGTGTGTGTGTGAGTGTTACCACCATATAATAACCAGAACAACGACCACCATTTATCAGACGCTTAGCACATGCCAAGGAACTGGACTAAGTTCAGGGGTGGGAAGGAAATGGAATGTATAGATAGGTAAGATGTGGTCTGTGTTCTCAGGGAGCTTCCAGTCTCAGGGAGGGTGTAATGGAATGAAAGACATCTACACAGATGAGCAACACAGGGAAGAGAGTTAATCTGGTAGATGGGTAGAGTGTCAGAATAGATAAAGAATAAAGTTAACAAGCTTTAAATTTTAAAATAGGACATTGATGGAAGGAGGTACTGTTTTATATGCCCCTCTACTAACTGGGCAGATGTATACAGATATAACTCATTATAAATCTAGAAGGACTTTAGAACATCCCTGGGCCATAAATGTTTGCATAGTCATATATGTCCAGAAAAGAGCATCTTTTCATATTCTTTAAATAACTCCGGAAGCTGGGTCTCATACCTACAGGAGAGGAAAGAGAAGGCAGCTGCAATTTATTTAACACCTACTGTGTGTCTTGCAAAACACATAGTAGCCCTATAAAAAGCTAGGGCTTTTTGTAATATTTAATTTTCTTGGTTGCCCTATAAAGTTGATATTTTCCACATTTTATAGAAAGAGGAAGGACATCGTGGTTCAGAGCATGATAAGTCACTTGTCCCAGAGCACACGGCTAGTGAGTACCAGGATTTATTTCTACGACACATCGGCTTCCCAGGAAGCTGAATTGTAACTCTTAACTCTAGAAAAAGATCAGGATTTGAACCATTTATCTTTTGGAGTTTTGTAATCTTCGTTTGCTGTGAACATTCTAAGAGTACATTGTTAAGTGCTTTGCATCTACAGTAGTAGATGAAGAGTCCACATAAACTAGCCACTGAAAGGCTACCCAAAGGCAGCAGAACTAATGGCCCAAAAAAGCCACTGAAGTAATCCATACAATAGTCTAGCTTCATTTTGACTATAGGCTTCTTTATTGCTTTAAATTACTAACAGTGGTTTAGTCTCTTTATTAATTCTTTTGCCATTTGTCCAGTTACTTTTCAAAAAAATATTATACAGGGAGAAGGATGTAAAGAGTGTAGTCCATGTCTTTACCTAAAATAAAGGAGTGTTTTAGTCTGGAATTTTCAGTGATGTTCAAAGGTGTCAATGACCTTGCCATTAAAAATTATGTCTTCCCTTTTCAGCTTAAAGAAGTCTTCTGCGGAACTGAAAAAAATATTGGCCAATGGCCAGGTAGGTGTCATTACATATTGATATTTCTGATAGTAGTAACTTATTACTGTCTAGTTTTTGTATCCATAAACTTAATAAGCAGATAAAGAGTCTGTGAATGTTTTCTTGTCATAAATGAATTACATGGCTTAATTTGATTGGCAGAACAATTTGCAGCACGTTTTTCAAACTGTGCTAATGGGTTTCACTCCCAGCAGATTGAAGTACCATGCACACACCCTGCTGCCATCTCAGTTTAAAAAAAGTTAATCAGTTCTGAACAAGTGTGTCAACCCATGGGTTGTCGAAATGGCCCTGTATCCTGAGGTGACTGTTTCTTTCATTATCTTTGGGGAGGGAAAAAAAAAAACACAAAAAACTGTTACTTTCTCACCTTAGCAGAGTTCTTTTGTCCTGAAACTAGCACTGGCTTTTCAGGCAAATAGTAACAGCAGATCTTTGTCATTTAAAATTCCTGGGCTTTGGGAGTCCTGGTTTGCCTAGCTGGCTGACCATCTAAGGCTGCATGACCTAACCCAGCCAAAGAGGGATAAACGGGCCTGCGGGCCAGTTATTGCTCACTAATTTTGATTCAAGTAAATGGACACATCTGAAATAGTATAGTGCTTTTAAACATACACTGGTAAATTAAGCTACCTACAGGGTCCTCGATTCTTCAATAGCAACATAAATGCGTTTTAATGTTTGTTATAGAGGAAGCCCTTTGATAGCCTCGGAGGCAGGCGCCTGTCCATTGCGATTAAGCCTGCCTATTAGGCTCTATTGACTGAGACATCTGTGTCACTGCAAATAAAAGACTCTTATTGATTTTCTTAACTGCTGTTCACTTCCCGTCCATGTTTCGAAGGCTGAAATCTTAATTATCTCAGATGCTTATTCAGTGCCTTCACACGCTGACCTCTCCAAGCCTCATTGGCATTTCATGAATCAAGTGCTTGTAGTGGAGCATGTCAAGAAGACAAAGCTGGGTCCTCGTGCTTGTCCTTTAATATCACCTGTAACTTTGTGGCCTGATAGATGTGTGTGCCTTAGAACGGTGACTATATGGTATTGCTTCTGGAAGCCTTACTTGTTTAGCACACAATCCCTTGAATACAGTTAGAAAAAGGAAGTTGATCTGGTTCTGACATCTGATCATCATCCAAAATGTGTGAGTTCTAGTCCTTAAACATTGTATATACAGCTAAGGAGAATCTGGTGTTATACTTATAATCTTGATGGCCTCAGGATTTTAGATCATATTTACCTAATGTGCACTTTTAATTTTAAGCAGCTAAAGGTTTGTTTAGATTGAGGTTCACATGTCTGTCCCTCTAGTGCTTTGTATATGTTCAGAATCAGTCTGAAACCTGACTAAAAGCAGAAATATCGAGCCTAGGATATTTATGTATCTTCAACATCTAGTAACTAATTGTAATTTATGTAATTTATGTACAAGTCACTTGTGCTTTTCAGCTGGAAAATATATTTCAAAATTGACGTAAATTAGGAAGCTTTAACTACATTTGTTCAACCCAGGCAATGGAAAATAACCTGTCATAGATTCCTCTTTCAGAAATGAAAAACAGTTTATTTCTACTGCAAAAGTAAACATTCTGAAATGTTTCTAATGTTTTGACAACAAACCTGGTACCATAAATATCTTAGTGGTCTCAGCTATGAGGTTCTCTGCGGTGGAAGATTGTCATGGCATTGGCTTTTGACACTTAAAGATGTTTATTGCCTTCCCTTGGGAATGTGATAACCCCACATTAAACAGGATGGCATTTTCTTTCTTTTAAGGAGTAGCCTTTTATTATTATTTTTATTTACTTTCATACACAAAAACAAACAAAACAAAAAACTCCACCTTTGGAAATACTTCCTTCTACAAATTCCTCAATTCCTTGGTGCTGTAGAGTAACTAAAGAGTGAGTGAGATTACATTGCAGCGAGGTAATGTGCTCAGTTGTGGGCATCAATAAATTTCTGGGCTGAACGCTGACACCACTTGATATGGAAGATGTAAGTCACATTTAACGATACTTTAACACTTGAGCATAGTTTTTTATTTTAGTGGTTTATGCTCTCAAGCATTAATAATGATTTGCCTTTCCACTAGCCTCCACTTAGATTTAATAAGGAATTCATATTAATCATTAAAAGAAAGGGACATGATTCTTCAAGATAATCAAATATTGACAGGTTAGAAATAGCTTTCTGCCTGGGTTCATTGATATAGGTTATGTGATATAAATATTTATTTCTTTTCTGTCACTCAGAGTAAATGCCACCAATTGATTCAGCATTGATATAGTGTCAACAGTTCATAAGAAACATTTGACTGGCTTGTGTTTTCCGATTAGTCTCTGCTCTATAAAGTGGGATTTACTAAATCTCTCCAATTGTCTGCTCATAGAGTGTGACTGCTTTCTGAAACCATTATTGCTTCGATTTGTGAAGCAAAGGTCTAGTGATAGGACTAGTTTCTGTCAGACCTTTACATATAAAATAAGGATTAATTGAGCATTTTTATTTTAATGATTTATAAGCGATAGATACTGATTCTTCTTAACACAGACAATAAACAAAGAATATTTTCTTTGCTGATCCATAATTGAATTCCATTTCATTTTCCTATTAATTTCATTAATATTATATTAAATCAAGCACTTTTTTAAAAAGTTTAACATTTAGTCTTTGGAATGGAGACCGTGTTTTTCTGTTATTGCTTTCTGATGGAGGATTCCTTTTTTTCTAGCTTAAAAAAAAAAGTAAGGTATTTTTGGCATGTTTTATTTAGAACTATAAATCAGTACCACTGATGTGTTTTCTGGATGTGTTTTCTCCCCACTTCATTTTTAGTGCGGTATCATCTGTTTAACATTGGCCCTGGATTTGAAACTGATTAAAATGGCCCAGTGGGTCAATATAAAGGAATTAGAAAGTGCGCAGTTACTACAAGGATGTGTGGTTTTGACCTTTGCATCTCTAAAGTTGTTTTTCCTCTTTTTATTTTTTAGATTTTGTAGGACATTTTGTGACTATTTTCTTATTCCTGGTAAATCAAGTATACATGTGCTGAGAAGTCACACAGATCTAGAACTAATTCTGATCCTGCTGTGTTTGGCTGGTATTTTGAGAACTTCAAATGCCTTTAGAAAAACTTTATGTTTGGGGGGAAAAAAGGAGGATGAAGAAAAATAGGTATTCTCCTGTAAAATTTACTTGAAAAACTGTATTATCACCAGTATATAAAAGTCTTAGATTCTTATGGTTCATCTTAGATCCCATACGAAGACTCAAACATAAATGAGACTGTGTATGTCAGTCTAAACTACATACCACCCTTCTTTACCCACACAACACACCCTTTTCGCCCTGGGTTGTCATGTCTGCATGTCTCCCACAGCCCTCGCCTCTCTTTCAGCATGAGCAGAGCCAGTGCCAGTTGTTTCTCCCAGGTCATTTGCCGTCTTGGACACATAATTGTAACTCTCATGGCTTTTTTTTTTTTCAGTCAAAATAAGGAAACTTATGAGTTATATTTAAATTTTATTTTGGTATCTTTATTGAATAAAAACTTTATTTCACCTCTTTTCTATATAAAAAGCTATGTGATTTTAAAATCAAGTCGCTTCTTAAAAACAAACACCATAGCTAATGAACTTGTTTTTGACTCGTGAGTGCCCTTCAGTTGACTGTTTTCCTTCCTATGAGCCAGTGACCATGGATGGAGAGGATGTCCCTACATACTTACCCCTGAGGTCAGCTGCTAGGATACAGCATTCCACAGAGTATACTGAAATGGAGTTCCAACCTTGACTAGTTGTTATTGACTAGTTATATGACCTACATGAGTTGGGCTAAATGCTTAAAATACTGTGAAATTCTGTGATTTTTATGATACCTGATTATAACTATAATAAATAAATGGCATACTCAGGCTTTCAACCTCACTTTTGTATCATAATGAGCACTCTTCCTGTGTTTCATTTTGAAAAGTTGGATTAATATGCTTATCTAAACTAAAAAGGCAAAAATATTATTAACTGTTCGTGTTTCCCATTAATGCTTCTCTTCATAGTTGAGATAAATTAAAGTAACACATTTTGATCAGAGAGATGAAATTCTGAAAATTTTGTTTGTAATCAATTCATGAGGTCAGCTCTAATAGTTTTTTCTTTGTAAAACTTTTTTTAAAGAATATTTGTATATCATATAAAAATGGGAAAATGCAAATAAGAAAAAGAATCTTACATTTTTAAATATAAAAACCTATCAGTGAATTCATTTGCCAGGCAAAGGTCTATAAAACTTTAAAACATCATAGAAACACTTTAACCATTTTTTTAATGGATACTGTCTTATTAAGCAACATGGTTCTAGAACTTGTTCTTCAAAACCATTTCTCAATGAGACTAAACTTACAATCTTCCTTATTGTCCAAGGGATTCCAAATTTCCATCCTTGAATCTGCTTACATAGTGCTTAGTGTGTGTGTATATGCACACGTGTGCGCGCACACACGGCCCACACAGCATTCTCTATTTCCTGACTCCTTTGGATGCTTGCCACTCCTGCTTAGATTGGAGGGCTGGCAATGCTGGGTGGGTGGCTGTTCCACTTCTCTTTTCAGCCTGGTGGGTAGTAGAGGTAAAAAGACTATAATGTCAGGATTATAATAGTTGAAGCTGCTGAGAGACATGCCACACTTAGCCCATTGCCTGCTCTTTCTCCAACAAGATACCACAAAATATAGCCCCACTCCAGAGTCCTAGGTCTGTCCCAGTGTATTATTGGAAGGTATAACATCAGCATGTCTTGGTATATATGAGAGGAAACTACTAGTCCTGTTACATGGAAGGCCCTGATGGAGTGGGGCACTGGAGGGGATGTGACCACAGATTGTGCCCTTCTAGAGCCTAGCTCCTATATCTCCATGGCCACTTCCTGCGTACCCTTAAACCTCAGTGCCACTAATTCAGAACTTGAGGACTTCAGTAAAACATCTCTCTCCTAAAAATTTACTTCAAGGCATGATGAGGCTGCAGCTTGTTAGGCAAGTTAATGGTACAAATTTGGTTATTAGAGTCATGTTTAGACTACCTAGAGAAATGTTTGAAAGGAATTAGCCTATTTGTACTCGCAAGTAGATACTGCTATTTACGTATGTATTCTTCATACCCATCCATCAAAGAAACCCAGTAGCAACTCTGCTAGTTTAGCATCTCAAGTTACTTTATGTGCTGCTTTTTTTTCATGCTGTCTTAAAATTTATCACTTGGTCCAGAATAATGAGGTTTTCTTTTCATGCCACATCTTTTATACAGGTGAAAATGTTTAGTTTTCCATATTAGTCACATAAAGGTAGTAAAGAACAGAATTTCCCTGAAATTGTTGCCAGTTTTTCTGACTTGTCTGTCATTTCTCCACTTAGCCTAAATATAGTAAGTAGCTAATCACAAATTGCATTAATCAGGTTGTACTACAATTAAATTGGGTGCGGAATTGGCCTTTACACATTCATCTGTCAATATTCTGTTAGGGATTGGCAAAACAGCTTGGAAAGGAAGCTGTTTTTGTTACCTGCACTGTATTCCTAATTATCACAGCTCTCGGAAGCTTCAACCTCAGAAATGTATAGGAGAAAAATATTTCCCTTGATAAATGAAGCCTTGCTTTATTCAATTGTTGGAAGTTTAGAGTAGGGCAAAATAGTTAAAGCTATAGCATAATGGTCTGAAAGCAAACTATTTTTTTTCCAGGTGATATTGAATTAAAAACTCCATCCATTCTCTGCCCATGCAAGGCAGTACAATTCCCTGGAAATTGATTTTTTTTTTCAGGGCTTAGTATGGCTTTTCCCAAGCTTTAGCTGTATGGAAAATAACACCTTTATTGAAGCCACTTAGTGAACAAAGTTGGCAGTTAATTTTTAAGCAACTAGACCAGTGTGTAGAAAATTACTGAATGTATCAAATATAATCTTAACTGTCTTAAAGTCATTTGATAAATAATTATTTAGGGAGTTCTTTAAAACTCTAAAATATTATTTTGTGGACACTAAAATTACTACTATTCATGATACAAATGAGAGTAGTATTTGTGGTATAGTTTCATAGAAACTGGGAAAATGTATATGTTTTTATATATTAAATTACAAAAATGGCTTTCGTTTTTAAGAATCATATGCTTATGTGTTTTTCTTTACGCATTATAATATTTGATTATATGTGCATTTTAAAGTGCATTGATTTGGCCCTTTTCTATCAGCATATGATTTCTACCCAGTTGTTGGCTGTATACTGATTTATCATTTCCAAGGAAAAGCTGTATCTACTCTAGGAGAACCATTAACATTATTCAGTTTGTTTACTGTTAATTATAGGGTCACCTGAGGAGGTTTCAGGGGCTGATTTATTTACAGATCATGAATTAGATGACTGGGTGTGTGTCTGTGCGCGTGTGTTGTCTTCCCAAGTTTGACTTTGGCTACGTGCAGTGCTATTCGGCATTGGCTCTATGCAGTACTGGAGACTGTATTGTTATCCGTATCTCTGACCTGACCCTTTTGAGCTATGTTATATCATTCCATTTTGACACCTTTTATCAAACTTTAATGAAATGACCCAGGCAAACAAATTGTCATTAAACTTTCCATCACTTTGTCCCTTGGTATCGTCTTTTATAAATTGGACAGCAAATGTTGTATTGATCTTCTCGTTCTTGCAGCTGAACTTGAAATGACCCAGACTGCTTGTTGTTTATGGCCCAGAGTTGCTTTTCCTTGACATTTCCATCCACAGCATGACACCCTTTTTGTTTTTCTTTCTTTCTTGTGGAGATGAATGAACAAGACATACGGTATCGAGACACTCTTGGTCATGGCAACGGAGGCACAGTCTACAAGTGAGTAGTCAATTTTGTTTAAACTTTCTGTCCACTTTTGCCACATGTGGGTATCCCAGTTCTCCGTGGCAAAGATTTTTAAATGACTGTCAGCGCTTAGGTTTTATTTCCACATTTGACTCCAAAATTCTGCAAAGCATCTATTTTCTCAGGAATTGCTTGGAAGAGTGCATTTATATAGCCTTTTTAATATTTCCGAGTCTGCATCTCTCCTGGGTGAGCCGTTAATAGTCCACCATTAGCAGGTGTATCTTTAACTGGCCTGAAGTTTAATGCATTTTTTTTTGCTTTGCTCTTTAACACCATGATATTTTTTTTAACTTGCTAGCACCCTATGCTAGTCCCCAGCCTGTTTACAGCTATGCCCAGTGGAAGATAGACCTTATAAATACCATTGCTTTGCCCTGTGTCGACATTATAAGTTATTAAAAAGCCTTCTTCCTGTTGTATTTCCTTCTCTCCTCACCCTACTCCCCTGAGAGAATTTCTACACATTGATGAATATGTTAAGTTATAAAATTCCCCCAAATTCTGGTTGCAGTGATCTTACCCTAAAGGAGTGTTCATTTTCATATTAAAAAATGCTAACCATAAAAAATAGTTCTCTCGACAGGGAAGTCTTTCTCATGCAGTAGTGCAAAGTTTAAACTACATAATGTAATATCTGGTACTTAATAGTCTGCAATGGTGTATGAAAAATATTCCACTAGGAATTAAAAAATCCATACTCTGTAAGAAAGCCCTGAGGGAGTAATAAAGCTTTCCTCCAGAGAGCTGTTTTCCATACATACGCTAACCCCGCATCACATGATTCTGTTTTTACCTTAGATATTTTGACGCTGATACTAATATATGGTTGTGGTTTTTTTTAAGATTTTATTGGGGAATTTGGGGAGGGAACAGCGTTGGGGAATCAGGCAAGATGAACAGACAAGTTGCTGTCCTTTTGTTCTTCAGTCTAGTTGTGGAGGACATCGCTTCACTGGCCCATGTTGGTATTGTGATCATTGCGCTCTTCCCGGCTGAGGCAGTTGGTCGCCGGCCTTTGGACGGCTGCTCATGGTGGCTCACGGAGGCCCAGCTTCAGGTTGAGCTGTTGTTCACCATCTTAGCTGTAGAGGGCACAGCATCACTGGCCCATGTGGGATCCGAACCAGCAGCCCGGCCGCTCAGAGCTCACGCTCCCAAAGCAATCTCTTAACCAATGAGCCACTCGGCCGGCCCTGACTAATATGTTTTCAAAGTTGTAAAATAATTTATTTTCTAATTGGTTACTAATAGTCTTAGAATTTTAAGTTCTAACTAAACACGTGAATACAGATAAAAATTGCCCTATTGTCCTAAGACCATGAAGGGTCACATCCTAAAACCCTAGAACAACCTCCACATGTAAATGCAGCCTTAGCATAGAGTTAGATTCCTCGGGTTAGACACCCCTTCAGGGACATCTGCTCCAGCTCCCAACCCAGGGCTCCAGTCCTCTCTGCAGGTAGAGCCAGGATATGAGTCTTTCCTCTTGAATATAGTTCTTTATGGACTTATGTTTGTATATTTGGATTATTTTTTCCTATAGATGACTGGGTACTCTGAATAGTTGATCTGAATGTTAAATGCTTCCACTCTGATAATTCAGGGAATTAAGTAATGTCATATGTCTTACACTGTCCTTGGGTCTTGCCCTTAAGATATTTGATGCCTAATGTGTCTAATGAGTTTGAGGCTCCCCTTGGCCTTCCCTGGATCATCCTAGCTTTCCTTCCCATGCAGCCCCCAGTACTGTAGAAACAGCATCTCTGCATCTTGGTCTTCGCCTCCTTACTCTTACCTGATTTGAATTTTTACCCTGTTCTGAAGGCTCTTGGGTTCAGGTACCTTTAGAAAGGAAAGAAGAAAGAACATGTATACCCAGTTTGCTTTTAGTGAGTTCCCTGGGAGAGCAGTTTCCAAAGCCTCAACCTTGCTTCTTAATGCTTTTATGCTGATAGCCAGATATAATAATACAGGGAAGATTTTTAGCAGTTATTTGGATTCCTTTTATTGGCTTCAAATGGAATCCAAAAACATTTCTTTAGACTCCTAGCCCACTTGTTATTTGTGCTATTTCACCAAATGTTTAACTCTCAAACGTGTTTGTGTTTTTTAATTGAAAGCCTATTGTGAATTTACTATCCTGGTTTATTCTAGAAGGGAGAAAACATATGACCACCAAACTCCAGCAGATAATTTTTATTAGAAATAATGTCCTATATGTTAAAATTCTAATCTTTTATCTTAGAACATAGGTTATTATAAAGGAGGGGGGAGGTACAGTGAAATGGAAGTAACATGCCCACCCAGCAAGGAAAAATTACAACAAAATTATGTTAGTAATTTTAAGAATATTTTTAATTATGATAAAATATATATAACATAAAATTTACCATCTCAATCATTTTTAAGTCTGCAGTTCAGTGACATTAAGTATATTCACATTGTTGTGCAACTATCAGCACCATTCACCTCCATAACTCTCTTCACCTTGCAAACCTGAAACTCTATACCCATTAAATAATCACTCGCCATTCGCCTGGTTAATGCTGTTTTTAGCAAGAAGCATGGCTAGAACTTCTCCTTTTATTAGGGCCATAATATCCAAGGGGACATAATCTCACATATCCTTAGCACAAATTCTTTAATTTGCTAAAATGCTGCAGTGACATTAGCAACTTTTCCTGAGAGTTCACTTAGCTACCATTTAGGCTCAATATGCATGTTGTAAGATTTAATATGTTTTTGACAGTGGTTGTTTATGGAAGATGAGTGGCAGTATCATGATCATTTAGTATTTTATTTTACATAGTACATTTTTTATAAAAAGAAGACATTTCATTTGTCCTATTGCCCAGGTGATTCTTAAGAGGAGAGAACATGAAGATACCAAATTGCATAACCATTTGTCATTGATCATTGGCCTTGATTTTTGCCTGGGCTTCAATGTATGTTGTCCTTATGTCCCAGAGAAATGGTATGATCTTCAAGAAATGAAAATCCATTTTACTAAAGTCTATAAAACGAAGTGTTTGATATGTTATGATTGACTTTCTTCTACACTAAGTTTACCTTAATGGTGTTGACTATAAAAATTGTGATTTTTTTTGCCAAACAAAATGATTACATTACAGGCTATGCTACATAAACTAGATGAAGAAAATATTGGAAAATCCACTCATTGGTAACAAAACTGCTTAATGGGCCTATTTCATTTTTTTCCTTATAAAATATAATAAAGCTAATAAATGCAAAGCAAAAATTTAATATTAGGTCTTATTTGCTTCACTCGATGTGATTTCGTGATTTTCAAGGGATAAGCCGCAATACATGTTACTTAATAGGCGATCACATTTTCACCCCTTAACTTGAGATGTTCTCCCTGGTTAATGCAGTATGAGGTTCTGGGCCCAGACATTTAAACCAAATGTGGATTCTCCGTGTAGCCCCCTGCTGAGCCTCTCTGTATTAGGACAGTGACCTAGGCAGATCATTTGAAGTTGGTATCTCTTGGATTACTAATTTGGGTGAAATGGATCGTAAAGGAAATACCTTAGACTAAAGTATTGCCCAAGCCTAGAAGGAAGAATAATAATTTCCTAGAAGGAAAAGGAAATGAATGCACTTCCATTATTGCTCCATTTCTCAAAGTGCTACAAGCTGGCCTCCCAAAAAATTAAGTCGGGAAAGATGCATGTTTTATTCTTTTCTGAAAGAGTCACAGTCAATTGCAAAAACTTGGATAAAGTAGAGAACAGTATGTGTTGTGGGTAAGTGTGGGGGCTCTGAGTTTGAATCCGCCATCTACCACTAATAGCCGTGTAAGTTTGGGAAAGTTGTATAGTGTTTCTGCCTCAGTCCCACCATGTATAAAATGGGGATAACAATTTTGTCTGTATCATAAAGTTGTGAGATCAAATGAGATGTTCCATAGGAAAGGCTCACCACTGTGACTGACACTAAATGTTAGCTACTGGCAATGATAGTACTATTATAATAACAGAAAAATCATTAAGCCCTGTGCTTCCTGTGCTTACTTGGCCATAGTATTGTTTTTGAGGTACACCTATAAACATCTCACAGAATTAGAGCTGTGTTGAGTTAACTTTGAGAAATTCTACATTATATTATACATAGTATACTCCTATGTTTCCCTCGAGTCTCTAGTTGTCTCGTGAATATGACTTTATTATATCTTATAATATCTTGCATGCAATGATTTTTTTTAAGTTCTGAGGTAGTTCCTCTTTTATCGCAGTACATATATGTTTTCATTGCTGGTATCACGTGAAGCCTGTTTGACCACCGGAGAAGCAAGGGCTCACATTCCTCTGGCCATGCAGAGGCAGAGCCAGAACTCCCCACAGTACTCCTTCCTTTCACTGTGTGCTCTCTTTCAGGCAGGGCTGTTTCTCAAGGTCAGGCAGAGTCCATTGTGCTTTCTAGTGTACCCTTCACAGTCCTGGGATAGAACAGATGCCTTATATATGTTGGCTGAAATGAGAGTGAGGAAAGTGGAGGTTTTTTTCAAGCAGGTTTTAGTAGGGCTCTTTAATTGGGTCCTTCCCATATCTAGCCCATTTTATAACCTGCGTAATTTAGAGGCTGCATAATTGTTTTAGCACATTAACCTAGGAGGAGAAGAATTTCTAAATGTAAGAGCATACGTTTGAATGATTCATTTTCTTTCAAATGTTAAAACTTTGAGTATTTAGCGTCTGTTAACCCAAAATACTAGTTACTATCCTCTTTTCTTGTGCTGTATCCATATCACATTGGAATGAAGGTAATTAACAGCCCCAGTTCCTTTGGAAACATTCTGTGATAATGAAGGCCAGTCACTCAGGTTCTTTGCTCCTTCCTCAGTTTGATGGAATCACTTAAGCTTTGGGTCCAGAAATGAAGTAATATTCAACTCTTAGGACTTAAGTCATGCTAAGTCAATTAGCCAACAAGCACTTAAGCATCATCTT